AACTAACAGATCTGTCCTGGAGGAAGTGCAGCTGAAATGCACCTCGGAAGTGAGAATGGCCAGACTTCGTCTCACCTACTCTGGTCATGTTGTCAGAAGGGACCATTCCCTAGAGAAGGATGTCATGCTTGGTAGGGTGGAGGATTGATGAAAAAGGGAAGGCCTTCAATGAGATGGATTGATATGGTGGCTGCGACAATGGGCTCGAGTATAGCAAGGATCATGGAACTGGCGCGGGATTATGCAGTGTTTCGTTCTGCTGTGCATGGGGACGCTATGAGTTGGAAATGACTCGACGGCACCTAACAACAACAACAGGAGAAAAAGAAACGAAATAACTTAAAGCTGTTCTGTCTGATGAAGCAAATTATGGGGGAAGGTCACAGTGCTGGGGCATAAGGGATTGCTGAATTTTTCAAAGTATTATTGCACTATTCAACTATTAAAATCATATACGAGTATTTCTTTGATTTTTTAAAAAAAAGGAAAAAAAGAAATGCTGAAAATAATAGAACTCATCTCCCTTACTGGTCTCATTTGCTTAAGGGACTCCTATAAAGAGTTCATACAGGGAGACTGTGGTCTACAGAGCCCTGAGATCCAGCAGAGAGGAGGAGCCTCATGCCATGGAAAGAGCACTGGATCTGGAGTAAGACCTGAGTTCCAGTCTTGGCTTTGCTGCTCTGAGCTGTGTGACCCTGGGCAAAGTGTTTAATCTCTCTGAGGTGTTCTTCCCTATTAGGGCAGGTAGCCAGGCCCCATATAACCAGTAAGAAGGGGATTAGATGATACAGATCTTAAAGCAGAAATGGAAACTAAGGTTATAGTTTGGAAGATAAGAAGTGTGACCTAGGAGGCCTGGGTCAGGAAGGAAAGACCTGAAGAAAGACTGAGATACAGGTTCCCCAACCATGATCCAGGCCTTCAGCCAAACTTGCAATGATATCTCCTGTCCCACTCCACACTGTTCCCAAGTTCTCCGAGACCATGGAGTGTGTTTTGTGGGGCTCTGGACTCAAAGGAGAAGCAAGCATCTCACGCATCAGTCTGCAACACCATGTGAGGTTCACTCAGACCAAGAGCCCATCTGACCACAGCAAGGAACACTCTGGACAACTTCCTTCCTAGATTCTGCCCATTTAAAAAAATGAAAACTCCAAAATCACTAGGCCTTAGACTCAAACTTGGTGAAATCTTAGGCCCAGGAGCAAAACCTTCAGCTATTTCTCCAGGGTAAAGGTCCTTGGGTGGCACAAGCAGTTTGCCCTTAACTATTACCCCAAAGATTGTTGGTTCAAATCCACCCAGTAGCGTCATAGAAGTAAAGCCTGGCAATCTACTTCCATAAAAATCACATGTTCTACTCTTTATCACACTGGGTTGCCATGAGCTGGAATTGACTCAATGACAGTGGGTTTGGTTTTCTTCTCCATGGCGGGGCCCAGCTCACCAAATCAGGCTTTGTCACAGCTCTGGGCACAGCTGTCATTTTTAGACTAGCAGGACCAGCCTTCCTGGATCCCACCCAGCATGGGGCAACTTCTTCCAGACTGAGCATTTAAAAGAGCCCATCACTTGTGTTCATTGTCCTGGGACTGGCCACCAACTGCCTGGCTGCCAAGAGTCTTCCCCTTCTCTCCTTGGAATCAGAGCCTGTAACGGGCTGGATATGGGGAGAGGGCTTCCAGGTTCTTGCACCTCTGAGACTGTCAGAGGACCTCTTTCCCTGCACCCCAAATGACTTGTGATTAAAGAGACCCACATGCCACAAGAAAGCTCAACTGTTGATGGTATGTCATGCAATGGAGAGATAGAAAGATGCCTTGTGTGGCAGCCCCAGGCACAAAGGATAGAAAACAAGAAAGACTCTAGACTGAAACCAAGGCACTCCCACAAGGTTGTGCAATCTGAAATCTCCCCAAAGGTCCCAAGGAACACAGACTGCTATCTAGGGAGTGAATACACAAACTTGTGGATTCAATCCCCCCAAAATAAATTTTATTCTCTAGTGCTTTGTATTTGGCAAGGGTTAATCATAATGTCAATTCACACCATGATTAAATGAATAAAATATATCTGGATTCAAGAAAACCTCACAGAATCCAGCTTTGATTCCCATGAGCACAGGTAAGGGACCTGACGGGAGGAAGGCAACAGAGGGAAAAATAATGGGATTTTTCTTGACTCAAGAGATTCTCATTTTATTCACGTATCCTGAGAATGGTGAAGATTTTTTTCTTCCCTTTTGGGGAATTTGCTTTTTGTCCAAGGAATAATTCTCAATAGTCTGCTTTTTAAAGTACTGTGTAATTTCTAAATAATTTTTTTAAATCAAACTGACACTGCCAACTCCCTCTGGTTAGGGTTTTCTGCATCACCTACAGACAGCCGGCTATTGCTGGGAGAGCCTGTGTGGGAAACCAGCCTGTATATCCTATGTCCAAAAGCATCCGTTTCCTCAAAGGTGTAGCCAGGGGGCTCAGGGTATGACACTGGGCACCTGCCCATTTCCTTGGGAGTAAAACTGATGGCGTAGGTGGTCTTGCCCTCCACAGGAATATTTCCTTGAAGGCCAGCCCAGGGGGGCTTACAGCTTTTGGTACTGATGGGGGGGTGGGGCACATAGTGGGCCTGTGTGGTGGTCAGGTAGTCCAAGGGCTGTGTGGGGAGGTTCAGCTGGGGAGAGGGCTTCACCGGCTCTGTGCGGATGTGAGCCCACTGCTTGTAGTCATCCTTGGTGGTGGTGGAGCCCTCGAAACGGCTCCCCACCTTCTTGATCTGGAGCACAGGGCGGCAGGACTTAGCTGGGCTGCCCTTAGGGTGCGTGTAATGGGCCCGCACTGTTGTCAGAAGGTCCATCTTCTCCTCAGGAGGGACATAGGTGGTGGGAACTTTGGATAACATCTGGGGTGTTGGCCATGCTTGGTACTTATCTCTAAATTCAGTGGTGTTGGAAAAAGGTTTATCTAATACACAGGGCTTGGCTGGAGGTTTCAAGCTCTTGGCAGGCTCCCCCAACAGGCCCTGGAAGGAATCTTTGTGGGTGGTTCCGCTTTCAAAAGGGATTTCACACGGCCTGAACTTCTCAGCCTCATGAACAAAGCGCTTCTCCACAGGGTGGGCCACGTAGCTCATCTTGTAGTTGGTCAAATCTTCCAGGGGGATGTTGCAAAGCTTTGGTACAGACAGAGGCTTGCAGCTCATGGTGTTCACAAGGCCCTTTATGTAGTAGTCATCCTGGTGTGTGGTTTTATTATCAAACTTGGTTGATGATGGCCGGTAGTGGTACGCAGGACGAAGTGGTTCTCGTCTCGGTTGGTTCCAAGGTAAATAGTCAGCTGAAATTAAAGCAGACATGGTCATTCATAATTAGTCAAGTCACCCAACCTACATGTACACTAAGGGGCCCAAAAGCCACAAAGCAGTCTCTAATGAGATCTTTAGACAATGGAAAAACAGAGTGGAACCCTGCTTCCACCTCACCCAAAGACTTATGTTTCAACTTTATGACTCTTGTGGGCTTCAGTGCAGAAGAAACAATGGTACAGTTCTCATCAAGCCCCATAATATTACACATAGGGATTTAGAGGGTCCTTGGCTGTAGTATCACCACCCATCTGTCAGTATGTCACACTATTGTGGCTTGCATGTTGTTATTAGGCTAAAAGCTATCAAAACCTCTGGGTATGCACTCTATTCTAAATCAAGTCAATCCCCATTGGCAATAGAGCTGCTGGTTTTTTATGGCCTACACTGACCTGGAGGAACTGCTATACAGATGGACCTTGAGGGGAAGCGGTGGTGGAAGCAATCCCAGATTAAAACACCATAGACACCTACTTGTCCTTATCCAAAGTTCAGTAGTTTTTCTTGAACGAACACTTCTCAATTTTTTATAGGTCTTTGGTGATTTCTAAAGTCCTGAAGTGGCTTTTGTTTTTTATTGTACTGTTTTGTCCAGTTTTATCATTGTTTTTTGGGGAAAGGATTTTCCAAGCTCTTTTTTTCCACCATTCTGGAAGTCCTGACATTTCCCCACCCCACCCCCAGGCACACTCTTAAGTTTATTTTAGGCCAATAATACTACCAACTATTCGTTCAAAATTGGCTTCATTTTAATTGAAAATCTAATCTTTCTCTGAGAGCCATTAATGGTTCTATCAACATCTTGAAAGCATTAGGGGGCCTTAGACAGAACCATCTTGCTGAATATAAACCACATGTTTCCCCTCAGGCTTCAGGCCTCACTGAAATGGGGGCATCTACCTGTAGGTGCCTACACGGTACCTCAAGGTGCTTGGGGGTGGGTAAGACGCGGCTTTTCTGGTCCTCTTCTGTGATGGATGAAGTGTTAAGAAAACAGGTTCCTAAACTCAAAGTTTCTGTGATTTCTGATAGCCAACAATGAAGTTGAGATCACATTATGCAGCCCCCTATCTTCCTCCACCCGAATTTAATACAAAAAAATCTTAGAACCCTGAAAAACCTCAGAATTCCACATGACAAACTATTCACATGCCTGAAAAGCCATCAGTAAAACCATCCAGGGCCACAGTGTCTTGTGGGTAATTGGCAAAAATCTCTTTAAAGGAGATTCCATTCAATAATGTGTCTTAAAAAAAAAAACTTAGCTACACATAAAGCTGAGCATCTAGTAATTATACTCTCAATCTTTCCAATTGCAGAGTGTTTTGAAAATATCACAAATTGCAACCAAATGCTGCTGGAGCATATTTTATTGGTGGTTTTCTGTGCCCTAGTAAAGGTGCTGACCATAAGAGAAGAAAGGGAAAAGTCTGCATATTTTTTCTGTGAAACCAATGTAAGTGAAGCATATAGACATAATATAGATGGCACCTATAGAAATAAACATTTTAATGAACTTTGGTGTTTGCTTTATTTTTTCCCCCCTTTGGAACAAGAATTAAAGTATGACCATAAAACATGAAAGTAGCTTTGAAAATACTCTTTGACAAGAGACAAAAACATCACTAAGAGATGATACTTTCAAGATCAGGCAAGGGTGTGGCTGCCCTCACAAGCTTGAGAAGTTGTGCAGGACTGACCCAAGGGCAGGGTAAATGCCATGGGGAAGGACTTCCCCAAATATCACTTCTGCTACTGGCCAGAATCCACAAGGTAATAGGTGAAGTGGGATTTGTGTATATCTATTTGCTGCCAAACTCTGACACTTGGAGCCCTTGCAAATAATGGTCCAGGACCATTCAATCATTTATTCCTTCATTTGACACACCTTATTCCCTGTAGAAGATGATGTGAACATAGAAGTTGTCATTCAAGACCCAATTGGGGAAGCCATTACATGTTAGGGAAGGAATGGAACAAATAAACCACCTAAATAATAGAATATAAGTATTATTCCAAAAAAGTCTATGCTAGACACATAGATTGCAAACTCTGCTAAAAGTATGCTAAATGGTTGTATATTTAGGGGGATGGTGATTAGTTGTTGTTGTTATGTGCCATGGAGAAAGACCTGATTCATAGTGACCCCTCCTTGGGTTTCTGAGGCAGTATCACTACAGAAGTAGATTGCCTAAGCTTCCTTCCGAGGAGTGGCTGATGGGTTTGAACCACCAGTCTCCTGGTTAGCAGTCAAGTACCTTAGCCACTATGCTACCAGAGCTTCCAGGGAGATGGTGACTAGAAGGGGGTAATAATGTTCTATTACTTGACCTGAGTGCTATTTACTTGCATGTGTTCACTCAAGATTCATTGGTCTGTATAATTTTGATTTGTATAATTTTTGTATGATAATTTTCTATGTTGTTGTTGTTGTTATGTGCCGTCGAGTTGGACTCGACTCATAGTGACCCCTCCTTGGGTTTCCGAGGCAGTATCACTATGGAAGTAGACTGCCCCATCTTCCTTCCGAATACTTTTCTATATATATGTCAAAATTTTTAAATGGATGAATCAATCAATAGAACCTAACTTAGCTTGAGCTTGAAATGTTTCCCTGATATAGAATTCAAATAACGAGTTAAGGCAAAGGTCAGCAAACTTTTTCTGTAAGAGTCAAATGCTAAGTACTTTAGGTTTTGCACGCCACATGGTTTTTGTTGCAACTACTCAACTCTGCCACCTCAGTGCATAAACACAACCAACAGATAACATATAAATGAATGGGAATGCTGTGTTCCAATAAAACTTTATTTATGAATGCGGACATCTGAATTTTATATCATCTTCATATGCCACAAACTATTATTCTTTTGAGTTTTCCCTCCAATCATTTAAAAATGTAAAAACTACTCTTATCACCCCAGCTATACAAGAGCAGGCTGCACTGGGTTTGGCCTGCTGGGAGTGGTTTGCCAATCCCTTCACTAAGTGGATATGCAAATAAAACACATTTCCTGGCCTCCATTCAGACTCAGACTCAGACTCAGAGAGGATCCCTCTTTCTTCCTTCCCCTACCTTTATACGTAGGCAGACACTCCATCCTATTGTCATGCAGATATTTGCTGTCAGGAGGCTTGATAGGGTCCACTCGACACACAGGGTAGGGGTTATAATCCTGTTTATATGTGGTGAGCAAGTCCATGTTCTCTCCATTTGGGACAAACTGCTTGGGCTGGAAGGCCTTCACTGGTAACACTTTGTGAAGCCCAAAATCTCTCCTGTACAGAAAAATAAAGCACATGCCATTAGGCCTTTGGCTGGGAAATAGACTCCTGTTTTCCCCTCAATTCAATTCTACAAGTTTGATAAGTCATTCCCAAACTGCTCCTCCTCCTCTGTTTCCCACTTCAAGAAAGTTACCATCTAGCCTTCTCACCCAAGTCAGACACCTGGATGTCATCCTTGACCTTCCTTTGTGCACTGCCCAGACAATCATTCACCAAGTGTAGTATCTTCCACCACAGCAGTTTCTCTCTTGGTTCAAACCCTAACCATTTCTCACTTGAATCATGGGATAGCCTACTTCCAGGCTTCCTGCTTCATTCCTGCTACTGCTACCTACCTTCAGTCCCCATAGTGTCATCAGAATGGAAATGAAATCCTTTTACTCCCCAGTTCCAAATACAGTCCAAGTTTCTAGCACGCTTTATAAGTTCTCTGTTCTCTGGGACCTGGTCCCTGCTTTCTTCCCCAGCTTATCTCCTACTGCTCTCCCCATCCCACCCAAGCATACTTCTCTCCAACCTCGGAAAATAAAGCACATGCCGTTTGGCCTTTGGCCCAAACACTTTGTCCAGAGCAGAGAGAATTGCAAAAGAAGGATCTCTCTTATGGGCTTCCTCTCTCTACCTTCCTTCCCCCCATCTCCTTCATTACGGAGCTAACGTCTATTTTTCAGGTACCACCACTTCCTTCCCTGGTCTTACCTAGTAGTGTCTCCTACTAATATTTGCCTCCTTCCTTTACTTGAGCTTGCATAAAACCAAAAAGGGAAAGCTGTGCAATAAATTGAGACACCAAACCTTTTGTTTCTCTGCTATCCATCAGCACCCCCATTGTTTCAGGGAA